GTGGTGACGCCGGACAGGCTGTTTCTGGGAGGCATGAGGGAAAAGATGGCTCTGACTGTGGATGGTGTATACAGATGTGAGCCATATCATGCCCCATACCTCCAGCAATAAAAAATGAGCCTACCTACTTTATTTATTAGCACAGATGCAGCACATCAACCAGCATGTAAACATGTATAACATGTAAGGCAGCCAGAGAGGCAATGTAAACAAAGCCAAAGTGCCTCTGTTAGCAGAGGGCATCGGTGCCTCAGAGAGAAGACCCATATTGCCCTGCAGTGGCAAGTTCATGAAACTCTCAGCTGTGACAGGTTTGCTGCTTATAATCAATAATCCCTTCAGTTTACAGTAGTGAAGCATTACCATGCCTGCTTTAAAACATGTCACCCTTCCAAAAGCTGGGGTAAGCATTCCTGTACTCTGACCTTCCTGAACTTTAGATGTATGCTCACAAGGTTGGGTGAAATGTGAACAAAGCAAAGCCTAAAACACTGCTGAAAAAAATTTACAGATACAATCCACCCATAAAAACAATACATGCTGATAATAATAGTATACATAACTCTTTGCTCTCAAACAATAGCCCTGATTCAAAGATCTGAAAGTGTCTTCTAATGAAATTGCTCCTGAAGACCAAGAGACTGAGGCAGATGATAGACCTAACAGGCTAGCTCTTCAGAGATACTGGTTTTCAGGTCTTTGAGAGTTCAGGTTAAAATGATTTACTAGAGGTGCCTCAGACAGACGTATCTATTCAGGTGCTTCCTGAGGTGGTCTCCTACAAGCCTTCCTGCATGAGCAAAAATTTCTGCATTGAATTCCTTCTAGTGAGTCATTCTTTCATCCACACCATTTAGTAATGATTTTGGTTAGGTGCTTACCTATGTGTACAGACCTTATCACACCTCTGTTTCCTGTGAGTATAACAAAGGCGTAGAAGTTTAACAGGGAGCTTTGGGTGTGATGCTGTCTGCCATAACCATGTGCTACCATGGACCTGAGCAGGACATATTATGTTCAGAGGAATGCGGTGGAGAATCACTGGAAACATCCAAACAGTGAGTTATGCTTGCACTGGCGTTCACAGCCTGTACATTATGATGCAAGCACTTAAGACAGGATGAGCCAGTTGTTATCTTGGTGCGAAGGTCCCACTCCCCATCCCCTTTCCTATGGTCCATTCTAGCACTTGTTGGTCCTATACGCCATGAATTAAGTCAACTTGCTAATAAGGCAGAGGCTGATCCTTGCAATTATCTGGGTAGATTTATCCTGCAGCCGTAGGGGCTCAGTGAAGGGATGAGGACGAACCAGCACAAGGGAAGGGAGAGGACCACATGTCTGGGAACCACTGGGAGAAGGAAGCTGGAAAGGAGAGGGAAGAAGCAGGACGTCCTTCTTGTAGTGAGAGGGAGAACAGTTGTCTTGTAACTCTTGGTAGGGCTTCACGTGAACTAATGTCAGCCACGTAAAAGCTGAGCATCTAGACTGAGCTAGTTGTCTATGCCTGTTGTCCAGGCCTGTCCAGTCAAGAAAGAAGGACAGGTATCTCCAGATATATATCCAGATGTATAGCAGGGGCCTACAGTGGTGGTTAATATCAGATCTGTGCACCCAGAGCTGTTAATAGCAGTTGGAGCACCACACAGCTAATCTGGAAAAGGTGTTGACACACGGAGACATTTCTGACAAATTAACGAGGGCATAGAGGGCATAAAGTGCTGAGCACACAATGGAGTTGACTGCGGGTGAACAGACAACACCTGACCTCACGTGAATCCTGCTGGGAAAAAGGTGCCCATCAAAAAGTGTTAAAGTAAATTTGGACTGCCAAAGAGCCTGTGATACACTAGTGCTTTTTGTCATGGGACAGCTCTGAGAG